CATTATCATCGTCATCGGTATCCGCGAAATCCCAGGAACGACTTGGATCCTATAATTTGAATCTGATACGGACAAGAATTGCTAAGAAACAGGTCACGCTTTTACATGTGTTTGCTAAATGCAGTAAATCCACTTGTAATATCGCATTTTAATTAACTATTCACTAGCGCACTTTTCCGGATCTGTCCTTCAATAAGGTGTTCCTAAGCCGTTTCTCCCTCTAAAAAAACTGGCTCCTCCGCTGCTTAGATCGAGTATTAATTTTTGATGAAAAACAGAACTAACTCTCAGTGATGCATTATAAATTTCATCACTTTGCTCTGCGGCGCGTCGATTTCTTCGGCATCGTGGTGGCTAAAATCCCAAATGATTTCTATAATCAAAGAAAGGTTTAAAATAAAAATTGCATTTTTTATGATAGTCCTTGAGTAATTTGTGCCTCTGTTTGGTTTTTTTCTTGCTGGTTCAGGTTCGGGCTGTTTTCACAAACTGGAGAGCAGGAGGGCAAAAAATCAAAAATTTTCTCAGATCTTTAATTCCTCAAGTGATTCGAAGCAGATCGTCGTGATATTTAGATCTCGGCCTATGCCACATCATGGCTTGGGGTCAACATTAGGCTAGTTGTAGTTTTATAAGAAAATTGAAGCTTGTGGGACTTTAATAAATTACAGAAAATAGTTTGAAATCAGCTTCTAAACACTTCTGTTTTTTAAGCCATAGGCACGAAATGAATGCTCCGGAACGAAGTATCCACGAATTCATATCTTGGCGCAATCCACGCACCGATCGACTAGAAATCACTGTGATAAATTGTTTTTTGTGGATTCCTTCTTAATGCATTCAGATCTGACTTGGCTGCTACGAATTATCCCGGTGCCCGCAATATCTTAATGCGAAAAAGCCTGATCACCTTCTGTTTTGAAGATTATCTTCTATCCTGGATGCTATACTAGCAACAAAGAAAGACAAACGGCCCTATGCGTTTTGCATAAATGTGAGAATTCAAATAAATTTGGAATGATTTTTCGGAGAAAATCACCAGGATAGTGTCGCATTCGCCAAGCAACCGATCGCAAAAACGCAGCTGACACTGCATTTGGATCAGTGAAGTATCTGGAAATTTGACTGCTTTACCGATTGCGAATGCCACCAGCGGCTCCACGTAGTCTGGCGAATCCATCACCGAACCATCAATTGCACATCTGCAAAGTGTTTTTTTTTTGTTCGTCTATCATATTGCGCAATTGTCACATGTCCGAATGCCCAAAACAGAGAGCAAAAGAAAACTGACAGATAAGAATAATGGAAAATATTTTATTATACTGAATTAACCTTGTCGAAGAGTACAGAAAACACCTCTTGTTCAGCAACGGCCGAATGAAAATGAATAAATACGCTGGCTTTTTCCAAAAGTAGCCGCATTCTTTTTTGCTCATATGTGAAATATAGCCATCAGCTTGCTTATAATTAACACTCAAAAGTGAGGGCCATTGATAGCCTTGCCGGACCATAGTTGCTGTGAAATTAACTACCACTCGGACTACTTCCCAAATGCCTTCGCCTTTCACTGAGATTGAAATACAGATGAGGTTTTGACTTTTGATGAAATACAGACGACTGCTCCGTTGAAATTCAGTAATCAACAGCACATATGATGGGATTGGAAGAGTTATGCGTGTTAATCGTAGTAAAGATTTGGAGCTGGATTAACCAGTGCAGTGGCCAACGTTCGAAGAAAAATGATTGTATGGCTATAGAATTATTAGAATTTGAGCAAGAGGAATT